CGAAGCGCACCGCGCTGAAGCCCTTCATGGTCGACAGGCTGCGCGAGACGTACGAGGCGCAGGAGAGGAGCAAGCAGGAGTGCGAGGAGAAGATCGAGGAGTTGGTGAAGGTTGTCGAGAGGCTTGAGAAATCTGCGTGAGGGGTTTCTGTTCGATGAAGAAAGAGAGTATTGGGTTGGACTACAATGCACATAGACTTAGACATAGACCTCGCATAGAGGATAAAGTAATAGACGCAAGGTTGGCGACGCAGATCGGCCGGTTAGTGTTGGGGGGTATGACGGCGTGAAAGCGTTAGCCGGGTTAATGTGGATCATTGGCCGGTTTGCCCGGGCGGCGCGCCTCCTCAATTGCGAACCCCACACTCCTCGCGCAGCTGAAGCAATTCTCTCAGGAACTTATCGTTGAAGGAAGAAAACACCAACATCAAAATGGGCAGCATATCGTTCCGCGAACACATCCGCTGGGTGCCCGACGAGGCCAGCGAGCCGACGTCCACGATCGTGCTGACTTCCCCGCAGCGCCGGTTCGTGGATCTCCGCATCCTAAAGGCGCCGACTGCGGAGGGACAAGGTGAGTGTGGCCTCAATTTCAACCCCATCTCCGGCCCAGCGCAACACTCGCAGTGGTGATATTATTGAAGATTTCTGACGAATGGCAGAAGCACACGGTGCTGGGCGCCTGGAATGGGGCATCGCCGGCACGTCCTCGTCGTCCATCATCCCCGACGGCAAGGGCGGCGAGGTGCGCCACTCGCGCTGGGACCACTGGATCGACTCGCGCACGACGGAGCCCGAGACGGCGGGCGACGAGGGCGACATGTACCCGCAGGAAGGCGACCTCACGCTCGAGAAGGGGCGCATGGTCAACCCTGCCACGGGGCAGGAGTGCGACTACGAGGAGCTCTGGCGGGACGTCGACCCGGAGCCTGCGTCTGTCAAGGCGGATGACGCGGTGAAGCCGGAGTGCGTCGTGCTCAAGTATGAGAGTGAGGCGAGCAAGGCGCGCGGGATGATTGTGTGGCTGGGCCGGTTTTGCCAGGGCATCTCGAGGGTTGGGGAGGATGTCAGCGCTGAGCGGTGGGAGTGGAAGGAGGAAGAGGGATGGAAGAAGACGATTCGAATCGGGGCTAAGGGGACCATGCCTTGTGAGGTTTTGCTGAAGACGGGCGCGCAGTTGAGTGTTGGCGCGCATGTGAAGCATGGGGAGATGGTCTGGGATGTGCTTGAGAGCAGCGGGTAGTATGTGCCTTGATACCTAGGGACATCATAAGGGCATCTTCGCAAATCGAAGGCTTCAAGCATTCTGCGTGTTTTATAACATTATTCAGGTGCCTTTGAATGCTTTTCGTGTTTTGTTTTACCTTTTGATGATTGGTGAGGACTTTGAAAAAATTAATTCATGTTTTAATCAAGGTCGTGAATTCAGCATAGAGAACCTGAGAATCCGCCACAAACATGACAACAAGCAGCACCCAGCATGTCTCGGTAGTTTCACGCAATTGTCATGTATTATTCGAGCGGGAAGTATGATTGATCCTCTTCGGATTTTCTCTGTCTACGCAAATACTATCTTGGAAGCCAGTTCATCGTCCTCTCATTGAGCCATTACGCGTAGGGGTTTGACACCACCCGAAGGCTTGCACACACGATTGACTCCTTCCATGTCTCAAGCCAGGTCGCGAATGATCTATATGCCAGTATCCATCGACGCGGTCTTGTTGTCCCTGCCGGTCATGTGGTTGCTATCATTTCTGTCGCCAGTCACCGGTGTCCTCTGTCGTCGTCGTCCCTCGTCGTCGCTGTACCACGTCTTCGTCCCCCGTTGTCTTCCTCCTTCAGCGTCTTCCTCCATCGTCTTCTCCCCATCATTTTGGTCGATTCGGTGACAGCCGTTCCATTAGCTAGAGTCATTCCCAGTAATTTACGCCCGGCCGTTAGGCACTTGTGTGCTGAGCACATCTGGAAGAAGTCGACGTTAGCATCATGTCTCTTCGACAACGTGGGAGGATAATTCACAGTACCTCCGCGCAAATACCCGCCGATGAAGTTCATGCCTAGCCCCAAAAGACACCAGGAGAAACCTCCACAGGCAACGGCAAGTCAGGCGATACAAGCGGTCCAAATATCTCGTCGAAGGTGACCACGGGAATGCAGCGTGCCCGAAGGTCACTCACGAAATCGCAGCGCCAATTATTGAGCATGCCCTGAGAGTCCTTGCAGAATTTGTGCAGCTTCCAGTCCGCGAGGCTGCACAGCTCGCGAACAGCGAACATGAAAGCATCCGAAAAGCTTAGATCTTCGAGCAGTACGTCTGGGAGCGGAGCATCGATCCATTGGTTCTCAGCAGCGTTCAGGTCGACGTCGCGCTGGTAAGGATTGATGTCGCGGATGGCCCAGAAGCGGCGCGCGCGGAGACGCTCGTCGGACCAGAACACCCATCCGCAGCGGCGGAAGCCAAGAAGGGTTTTGACAGAACCGCCGTGACCAAGAACCTTCCAGGCGGTGTTGGGGGGGTCTCTCTCGCATTCGCAGCCAATGCGGCCGGGGATGGTGATGAATGGGTCCGCGGGCCAGACTTTTCCGTAGTTTTGTGCCCAGGTCCAGCTGGACTCAGCGCCGACGTGCTCGGCCTCAGCCGGGGTGCGACTGTCCTTGAGGATCATATCGGCGTACTTGATCATCCACTGTCTGTACTCTTGGATGGGCGAGGTGAGGAACGAACGCAAGAAGCCCAAGCCGAAGGTGGAGATCTGCTTGATGACTTTGGACTGCGTCATGGTGTCTAAGAATTGGATCTTGTCGATGCGGGTGACGGTTTCGTCGTGGACGTTTCTGGCAAACCATACTTGTTCACCAGAATCTGAGAGCGTTATGTTGTACCTGTCGGGAATCTTCCAGACTCCATTGACGGGCTTGAAGGCGCGACAGACCTGTCTGAAATCCTTCTGAACGTCGCGGCCGTCATCGGCGCTCATGAACGCTCGGAAGAGGTAGACGTGGAGGTCATTGACGTATTGGGAGACGCAAAGTACCTCCTCCATCTCATGCTTGTCAAAGTAGGCATCAAGCAGCTTGTGCTGAGCCTCGAGATCCCAGAGCTGTAGACCAGGTCTAGCTCTGAAGACATGGGACAGGAGCTCGAATCGGCAGAACGCGCGGAGAATTCGACGGCTCTCGTTGGGGTGGTAGGAGGTAATCGCGGGAACCACTAGCATCAGCGGCTCGTAAGCTCCCTTGAGGCTCGGCTCAGCCCACTCGGGGAGGCGCATCTGGAACTCTTTGGCGTCAAGATCGGATGTCTTGAGGGCAAAGTCTTCGGCAAAGGGAATGATGGTCTTGTCGATGAAGTGGCAGACGGCTAATTGCTGGGTGGGACTGCGGGTGCAAGTCATGAAAAGCTCCAGACTCTGCCAGTTGGTGAGATGCTCCTTCATGGCGTTTTTCTTCTCCTCATCCGTGGCCAAAGAGTTCAGCTTGGAGAAGGAAGGGAATGAGAAGGCGGCGAGGGCGTCGTTGTAGATTGAGCTGAGGAGATAGGTGCCGAGCTTGTTCTCCAGCTTTTGGTGCTGGCGTCTGACGATCTCCTTCAAAGCGCTCATGAACTTGTGGCAGACGGGAACGATACCGGAAATATCTTCGATGTCGGATAATCCGTAAGTGCGCTCGTCGATGATCTCGCTGACGATCGCGTTGACGATCTCCTGAGGGAGATCATTGATAGTGGTGGGCGCCATCTTGGATGACCAGTCTTGAGGCACAGGCAGCAGAGTAAACGAATGGACAAGACTGCGTTACTGAAGTACTTGGCCGAGGATAAGAAAGGAGAGTCGGAGCGTCGATAATTGGGTTGCCGAACTGCGTGTGACGAGCATCGACCCAGGGAGCACGCGTGTCAAAGTCGAGGTCGAACGTGGAAATTTCAGCGGCCAGAAAGATGAGACTCGAGGGCCAGACACACCTAGAGGCTGCAAGCAAGATTCGGGTCCACAAGAAGGTGAATATCAAAAAAGTTCAATAATATTTTGTCAAACACAGACTCGACTGGCCGCCCCGTTCACCTTGGGGCGCCAAGTCCTCTCCCCCGCGCCCACCCCAGGACCCCAGATCCACCACCCTGCTGTGGCCCAGTCCATCCACCACATAAAGTAGCCAGGAATTTGGCAGAAGCCGTGGAATCTCTACTCTTAAATTGACGGCGGGTCTCATTCGCGATGCTGCCAGTCTTCATCCGCCTCCACAAAGGAAATAGAGCCCAATAAGCCACCAACTCATGACCTCAAAAGAAGCAGTCTGCAAGCACCCAAATCTCTCCAAAGACCTGAAATCTCTTTTTATGCCCTCAAAGAGTTTACAACACTCTTTTGGAGTTTCCTGCGCTGAAGTTGAGTTGCCAGCGCTGAGTGCGAGTTGCGCACCTTCTTCCAAAGACACCCACCTCAACCTTCCATGGCCTTCCGCAGCTCAGAGATCAGCCAGTCACAGAGCTCTGCTCAACCCAACAACATCATGAACACCTCAAAGCCACCCTGCTCTCGCCCTTTTGGTCATGGAACACCACCTGGACCCGCTTCCTGATCTCTTGATGCCTTCACTTTTATAGTCAACCCGACAACCAACCCCCAATCGGCCAATCACAAAAATCAGAGCTGCAGTGTTTTCCTCGAGGCACCCTCAGTTCTCTCTTGCACTCGCCCTATTGAGGCAGTCAAAACAGCGGAGACTGTGCCCTTTGAGAGAGAGGGCTGGCACAGGCTCGCCTCAATCACTCCCCCATCAAGTACAAATATCCCCCTCCTCTACCCTCCTCTCGAAAAACTTCTTCCTCTTTTCTTTTTTCAATCCACGCAAATACATTCTCTCTCTACTCGCTTCTTCAGAACCTTGCAACATTCCCTTCAATCCTTCACAAACAACCCAAACCTACCCACTCTCCACAGGTCAGTCAACTGCTTTTTCCTCTCTTCCCTCTCATCCTTCTAACCATCGCCAGCTGCCAACATGAAGTTCTCTATGAACGCCAAGCTTTCCGTTGCCATCATCGGCCACTTTGCCACGCGTGGCGCTGCTCAGCAGCGTGTGAAGCTGACTGATGGCACCGAGATGCGTAAGCTTCCTCCCCATTTCATCACAGCGCCTTCGCTGATTTTTGTTTTCATCCAGCTCAGCCCGTCTTGACCACCATTCTTGGCGATGCCATCCACAAGCCCATCCCGACCAACGGATCTGGCTTCACCGGTACGTTTCAATTTTTTCTCCTTCTTTTCCTTCTTCACAGACTTTATTTGCTAACTTTGGTACAGTTGTTGGCACCGAGATGTGTCGTGCCATTACCACCACCACTTGCGAGTGGATCGAGGTCACCTCGACCATGACCTCTGAGGTCATGACCACTCCCATGGTTACCACCTCTGAGGCCACCACTTCTCAGGTCCAGACCTCGGTGATCACTGAGGAGACCACCAGCGTGGCCACCCCCACCACCGGTAGCACTTCTGGTGCTTCTTCCAGCGTCATGACCCCCAGTGTCTCTGCCTCTGGCACCATCACCCCTATCCCTTCTTCGGGTGCTGACAAGACCGGCGCTGGCCTCGTCGCCGGCCTGGCTCTGCTTCTTGTCATCTAATTTTACTGAATGAGCCATCCGGGCTAAGTGTTTGGATGGAACATCTTGGGATTGGTAAAGAACATGGGTTGGCAAGGCATGCTTCATTGCAACGGAATGGTTTGGAATCGGCTTTTCAGATTGGTAGCTAGATTGGGCATTCACTTTGGGCATGCGTGAATCGTATGCGCCGTTGCAACCAATACCACAAAGCTTCACACATCTTTCTTTCCTTTCCATCGTGACTTTGGGACTGATATCCGCGCCACTTGACTTGACTGTGGTGCAAAATTTGCGTCTCGTGATGTTTCAGATGATGTTCCTGATGCTTGACGGTCACCAGTCCACCTCTGACACGCTTCAATGGGAAAAGGTCTCGCTGCACGAGCCGGTGCGCAAATCTTTCTTGGCAACAAGCGTATCTATTCTCTGAATTTGATGACAGTGTGCCACTTGCGGAAAGCTCGGCTTGACAGTTCGTGGCCATCTTCGGCGGGCCGCGGACAACAGCTTTTGCGAAGGGATCGCGAGGCATCTGCGTCGACCGCTCCCGATTTTCTTGGTTTTACAGTCGACAATCTGAGATTAGACAATCTGGAAGACCAGAAAGATACGGCCTCTCAACCCATGATTCACACAACACCACGTACTTGGCCTCTGGCCGTGGCTCTTCCAGTTTGTTCTTCCCATCCTGGCGCACATGTTCCCTTGCCCTGAAGCTTCGCTAATTGATCGCAATTTCCAGGTTCGAAAACTCTCAGATCATGAAAAACATGCACTACAGGCAGAAATTCTCGGAGGTGGCCGCACGAAGCGCTCAAAAAGTACGATCGTCCCGCGGCCGGCTTGGGAAGGGAGCGCTGGAGAGGTGGTCATGCACGAACTCGAGCTACAATTTGGACACCAGGAAGAAAGTACGAGAATCAAGCCAAAACTCAGAAACAGCAACGGGTACGGGAAAAGGCAACGTGACCAGCGACAGCAACGGAGACGCTGGTGGGGACCGGGGGAGGCAAACAGAGTGAGCGATACCACGATACGTGTGACCAGGAGGAGTTGGGCCTTTCGGCGAGCTTGGGGCATGGTGATATTCAAGACACACCTTCAGCCCGAAGCCACTCGTTCGGAATTGCTGAATATGGCACAAAATCATCACGACGTCAAAAATTGACACAACTCCATGTCTTGAGCTCCTTCTGCGTGATCCCTGTCGCTGCGTCCTTCCTTGGGTTGGCCGGGGTGTGCGCACAGACCGCCTGCCCCCTTAGTCAGCCACTTAACGCGTCCAGCGGCGCGTCATGACCTCACCAGGCGCGTCAACCTTTCGCACTTTTCGACTTCCCTGCATCCAACGACTCCCGCGACCACGACAGCAAGATGGGTATCAAAAACCTCTACCAGATCATCAAGGAGGAGGCTCCCAATGCCATCAAGGAGGGCGAGATCAAGGCCCACTTTGGCCGCAAAGTCGCCATTGATGCGTGCGTCTTCCTCTTTCCCTCCCCCACCGTCGTCGGCTGCCCCTCGCTGACTCTGCGTCCAGGTCCATGAGCATCTACTCCTTCCTCATCGCCGTCCGATCCGATGGCCAGCAGCTCATGAACGAGAGCGGCGAGACCACCTCGCATCTGATGGGTCTCTTCTACCGCACCCTGCGAATGGTCGACAACGGGATCAAGCCCCTCTACGTCTTCGATGGTGCCCCGCCCAAGCTCAAGTCTGGCGAGCTGGCCAAGCGATTTCAGCGAAAGCAGGAGGCCAACGAGAACCTCGAGGAGGCTAAGGAGACTGGAACGGCCGAGGACGTCGAGAAGTTCTCCAGACGGACGGTCCGCGTCACCCGCGAGCACAATGCCGAGTGCCAGCGCTTGCTCAAGCTGATGGGCATCCCCTTCATCGTCGCCCCGACCGAAGCTGAGGCGCAGTGTGCCGTGCTGGCCCGCGCCGGTAAGGTCTACGCCGCTGCTAGCGAGGATATGGATACCCTCACCTTCGACACACCCATCCTCCTGCGCCATCTGACTTTCAGCGAGCAGCGCAAGGAGCCCATTCAGGAGGTCCACATCGACAAGGTGCTCGAGGGCCTGGGTATGGAGCGTGAGCAGGTCAGTCTTCTTTTCTCTTTGATCTCTTGACGTCATTCACTGACTTTGAGTCTCCAGTTCGTTGATCTCTGCATTCTCCTCGGCTGCGATTACCTCGATCCCATTCCTAAGGTCGGCCCTTCGACCGCCCTCAAGCTCATCCGTGAGCACGGCACTCTGGACAAGCTGGTGGAGGCGATCAAGGAAGACCCCAAGGGCAAATACCAGATCCCCGAGGACTGGCCCTACCAGGACGCTCGCGAGCTCTTCTTCAAGCCTGACGTCCGTCCGGCCGATGACCCGCTGTGCGATTTCAAGTGGGAGAAGCCTGATATGGATGGTCTTGTGCAGTTCCTCGTCACCGAGAAGGGATTCTCAGAGGATCGTGTGCGTTCTGCAGGTGCCAGACTGGAGAAGAACCTGAAGAGCAGCCAGCAGGTTCGCCTGGACGGATTCTTCAAGGTGATTCCCAAGACGGACGAGCAGAAGGCTGACGCCAAGCGCAAGCTGGATGCCAAGAACGAAGAGAAGAAGAAGAAGCAGAAGCTTGAGAAGAAGGAGAAGGCGGCGGCCAAGGCGAAGCCCCGTGGTGCGTAATTGTGGCTGTAAAATATCTCCGGAGGCAGGAATGGCTTGGCGTTTGGCGTACCTAGGTAGCCTCAGTCCGTCACAGACGGCTCGATATCAGTGAAAAAGATCGTTTATTATCTCCGTATCTAACTTGCGTCCTCTCAACTAGCTTGTACGTGGTTCTATGCCTGACTTTTTTTTTTTTTTTTGCCTAAAAGACCTGTGATCGTTGTAAAATGATCATCTCCGCCAAAGTTGTGGACCCTGAAGCCAGTGTCCACGTTCATGTCGACCCGATCATCATCAGTCTCCTACTTAGTATTCTCCGAGCGGGAGCCTCTTGACTATCGGTGTTGCGAACTTGTTGAATCGAAATCAGTGTCTACTATCCTTCCACTTCCTGGCATTCTTGCAGGCCTTATCATCGCACCATAAGACATGCTTCGCCTCGATGTCGTCCTTTGCCCCGTACGATTGTGGCTCCAGCAGCTTGTTGTCAAGCGTATCCCACGGCATCCCGGTGCCGTCTGCATATACAAAACTGGCAGTATGTCTGCTCAGAAACACAAAGCGGTCCTTTCTGGTCCAGATGAATCTCCCGCAATAAGCACTGCAAATGACTTCGTGTTTGACCCAGTGATCGTTATCTTGCTGTAGGAAAATACCCGGGATCCGAGCACTATTTATCCTTTTGCACCCGCGAGCCGGCTGATCATGGTCCACCCAATCGATGTTACGGTCGCAGGGTGACACGCCCCCGATTCTTCTGTCGCCTCCAAGACAAACGCAGAGGCGCGAGTCAAACGGCGCGAGGAGCCTCTCAAGGCGAAGATGCGGGCAAAGCATGTCGCCGTAGGTCTCCTCGAACTCTCTCAGGCGCTGTTGTAGGAAAGGGTATGTCACGCCTCTGTCCTCGGGAATCTCAAAGACAGGGAGTGTCCAGTCAAGTGAGAACATCACCTGAGGACGACCTCGATAGTTCGGCCCTGCGTTCAGCAATGAACCCTTTGGGGGAGTAATGTTATTGCGAATGCGGATATCCTCCCCGGCGAGCTTCTCAGCAACAGCCTGGCAAACCTGGCAAATTACAATATCCTGGTGAGCGTGGCGATCCTTGTCGGCAATGCCGATGCGATCGATGTATTGTAGAATCAACGGCATAGACATAGTCTCGTGAGGGCAGACTCGGAAGTGCCCCTCCCATGAAATACAGCGACGGCCGACATAGTTCTTTTGGCGCTCCTTGTGCGAGAAAGAGGATCGAGGATGGTTTGCTCGGCAGAAAGAACAATAGAGCGTCTTCAACTGGAGGCCCCATCTGGGACTAAAAATGTCTCTCGACTGTTTCTTGGCGATGATGCACTTATCGCAATACGCCTGGTCTCTTGCCCGTCTGATAGTCTCTTCATCGTGCTCGAAGCCTTTAAGACCCTCCGGTAGTTTCGCGTAACGCCACTTGTCATTCCGATGGAAATTCCGGAAATAATTGCTCTGGTAGATGCGCCAGAATGTGAAGGAGACTTGGCGCCACATGTACAAGTCTGGAATGTCAGCTAGCTGCAGGATAAGAAGCAAGATTTCTTCCGGGAGGTTAAGCAGGCGGCTGTGTTTGACATTGTTTTCGAAGGTGATTTCCCACGGCGGCAACGCAGTCCTCGGAACCTGCATCAAGCTTCGAATGTTCGGTTGGAACGGTGGTCGAGGCTCGGCAGTCAAGACAAGAGGCGTGTTGAACAGCGACGGATGAGCCATAGCTATCGCATGGTGTTTGGGGGCTTTTACGACTGAAACGAGGGCTGTATTCGGCTTCCGAGTCTCGGTCTCGCCGTCATTGGCACTGCGTTCGGCGGGTGTTTCTGATCCCGATGTCGTCGTGAGCACTGCGGGTTCCGATGGCGCAGCGTTTTGAGGCTGGGAAGCAGCCGAGGTTTCGACGAAATGTGGTGGTGCAGATGACGCGGCAGCATGAGACTGGGGAACAAGAGCGTGGATAAACAGGCCTAGGAGAAAACTGCCCAGAATCACGCATATTCCGAGGAAGGTTTGGCTCTCGCATTCCATAACTCCCATATGGGCGATTCGAGTGTTGCACAGCTCCATCGCAGTTTTGGTGTCCAACACAAATGCAAGCCAGAATACAAAGCTGCGATGAGAAACTGAGATGTAGGAATAAGTTGGACTTCTTAAGTTCATGCTACATGCTGGGGAAATTACCTCTTATAGGTCTCTACTCAAGGTTGAAGTGCTTGCTCGAGGCCCTTCAGTTGCTGAACCTTGTTCGACCGTGGCAATAATACTTCGCAGGGTTCAAGAAGTCTCGGTGACCGTAAATGAAAGGGATCTTTAATATCCTGGCGGACAAAAATCGCTACCCGGGCGATAGTGACATTGGACAACGGCAGTCCGGCCAAAGAGGTTGCTTAAAGGACATAAGGGGAAACAAGAGGTCCATAGATGGAGAGCACAATGAAAGCTCACAAGTCACTCGTAGAGACAACAAGGTATTATCATTAATATTATTGGTCATTATCATCTCTATCTAGAGACCCCTTCGTTCAAATTCTATTGCGATCTATGGTTTTTCTTCCGGCCAGATTCTAGAGGGCCTTTGACAAAGGAAATAAAAAGGAGACTTTTCTTATTCCAAGCATATGCAAAATGCTCATGAAGTGATGTGGTTCTCTTAAAACAGGAGCATGCCCGCGGCGATGGCTCCGACCAAGCTCATCATCTCGACACGCAGGGCCTTCTGGCCGGCAGTGACCACCGGCGTGGGGCTTGAACTGGGGCGGCTGGTGCCGGTGGCAACGGGCGGAACGGCAGTTGTAGGCTGGCCCGGCGTGACTGGGGGCTGGCCGGCCGGCTGAGTGGGCTGTTGAGGGGTGCCAGGGACGCCGGGTTGAGTAGGTTGCTGGGGAGTTCCAGGCACGCCGGGCTGAGAAGGCTGCTGAGGCGTGCCAGGAACACCAGGCTGGGTCGGCTGCTGAGGAGTACCCGGGACACCAGGTTGAGAAGGCTGTTGGGGGGTGCCGGGGACACCGGGCTGGGAAGGTTGTTGAGGAGTTCCGGGGACAGAGGGTTGCTGGGGAGTTCCCGGGACGGAGGGTTGAGCGGGGGGTTGGCCGGGGATAGTCGGTTGCTGAGGAGTTCCAGGGACGCCGGGTTGAGAAGGTTGCTGGGGAACTCCAGGCACGGTAGGGCGGGTGGTGAAGCTGGCAGGAGGAATGACACGGGTGTAGCTTGAGCTTTGAACGGTCGTGACAACGCGGCAGCTGGTGTCGCAGGTGGTGTAGGTTCTGGTCCTGGTGGTCTGGCCGGTGGTGATGATAGGCGGGACGGGATAGGTCCTGGTAATCGTCTCACAGGTTCCGTTGAAGCGGCAACGCGTGGCGGTGGTAACATACGGCTGAGTCGTAGGAGGAGGGAGGACGATGGGAGGCGTGGGAGTTGTGATGGGGTAGGTGATGGTTGTCACGGGCACACAGGCTCCGTTGGCGTAGCAGGTTGTGATGGTGACGCAGGGCGGGAGGGTGACGATGTTGCAAGTGCCATTGTAGTTGCAAGTCGTAGTGACGGTAGGGGGAGGGATGGTCACGACGGGAGGAGGGAGGGTGATGGTGGGCTGGCCTGTGCCGTTGTTGAACGGAGGAACGGTGCCGTTGTTAGGAGGAGGCACGGGGGCGACTGTTGGCGGGATCGGGACGAAGGGGATTACTGTCGTCGAGTTTCCGATGACAACTGTGGTCGAAATGAAGGTTTGGTTGGGATCAACCGGGGGCACCGGAAGGGAGGTGTTGACCGCCGGAGGAACGGTGAGGATGGTTGTATCAGTGGTAGTGGTGAAAGTCGTGGAGAGAGACAAGCTGGGGTCGATGAAGGAGGAAGTCGAGGTGGTGACTGGGACGGTAGTAGCACCGGAAGCGTCCGTGGCCGTGATCACGGTGGTGGATGTCGGCGCGGAGACCGTGACGGTGTTGCTTCCCGGCAGAGTGACCACGGAGGAAACGGTCCCAACGGAGGAGTCGGTTCCCACGGAGACGGTGGAAGATGCCGGGATGGTCACAGTGGTGTCAGTGCCGGAGGCAATGACGGTGGTACCGGCAGGCGTCACGGTGGACACGGTGCCAGGGGTGACGGTGGTAGTCGGGGGGACTACGACGGTGACCTGGGTCGAAGAGGATTGGGCTTGGACGCCAGCCAAGAAGGCCGCGGCGAGGATGAGACGGGACATTGTTAGCGAATGTGGGGTTTCAAACGAAAGACTGATATGATTGTGATTGTTGTTCTTGTGAATGGTGTTGTGATGATGAGAAGAAAGGAGGCTTGATGGACTGGCTCATGCGGTCTTGATATAGGCACTTCTTTCGATGAAGACTTCTCATGTCGCAAGCTTCATCAAGGGTGAAGACCCGGAAACGGTCAAGGTAGAATCCGCTCGCTTCACAGAGTTCATCAGGAAGGTTCAGCAACATCGCGAAGATTGAATCCCGAAGGTTGACGGATGCGGACGGTCATGGCGTGAGATCCGCGTGCGCTCGCCGTTTTGGCGTTCATAGTGGTAACGAATTGGGAAAGGTTGCAGCTATCTTTGGTACAACCCACGAGAAGAACACGAGAAGGTCGAGTAAGTTTCCTCTGGTCTTTGCATTCTGCACGCGAGAGCCGGTTCAGTGGAGTCGCACCCAGGAGACGTTGTCGGATCCGGCCTGGGTGTGAGAGATTGTTGCAGGGCCAAGACACTACGCAATAGTTTGAGGGGGTGTGGATGGAATGTGGAGGCGTCGATCGTGGGAAGAAGCGGCGTTTGAGAGTGGGCGGGAGTGAGACATGCTCATGACTTTGGAAGCGGAAACACGAGGTTGGCGTTGCAACTAAGAATTCTTGAGCTGGAAAGAAGACATCGTTACGGCAGAAAGTATGCTTATCCGTCTTGATGGGAGTTCACCCGGCACCGGTGCTCGAGAGCGGAGCTTATCTCGTCATCGACTTTGCGGTTCGGATGAACTGGTTCGCGAGAGTCGTTGGCATTCCAGTCGCCTCCTGCAATCAGGATCCCTGTACCGTTTCCAAGAAGTTGGAGAGACGGTTTGGGAAGACCGATGCTGTGCCCCTGAATATCACCGATGACAACGAAGGGAGTGCTGATGTCGATCTCAACCACATCTATTCCAGCTCTCGGCAGTCGGACGAAAGTTTTGAGGAGTTTCTTTCTTCTTACTCCGCTCGGCTCCGAAGATGTACTTGATGAGCTGTTTATTGATGCTGATACGAGGTTTTCGGTTTCTTTCATCGCCGCAAACGGATGTCGAGCGGAGCAAGTCCGGAATTCGGCCGTGAGAATCGGTCCTTTGACAATGGGCTCATTAACGCGATGAAGCGCGTGCGGAGTACGAACAGACCGAGGTAAAACGATGAAGACCTACGGTTTGCCATCCACAAGAGCGACAGGAAGCTTTCACACAGCATCCATTTACATCATCATTTACGAATGACCGCCTCGGCAAACCGATACCGAAGACCCGGGCGCTTGTCATCGGTGCTATCGCGTCGACGCTGAAAGGAACATGAGTTGGCTAAAGAGAACTATCTCGTATGATTCAAGTGGACTCAAGACCTGCAGCTTTTGGTAGTTGCGAGAAACTGGTTTGAGAGTTTGAGAGTACGTACGCGCCGTCAATGAACCGTTCGCATGACAGCTTGCTCAAAGAGCATTGGGAAGGAGCTTATGCTGAAAATTAGGCGGTGTCTTCTTCAAACATACTCTCGTTCATCTCCGAATGGAATGAGAGCTAAATGACATCGTGAAAAAGATCGAACAGTTTTGCTAGCCGAGCAGTGTCAGTTAGCTAGCCGCAGAATACCATCTGACTTTAATGTACTTGATACTTCTTCATAAGGACAACAGTAGTAGAGAAACCAATAGGGGAAGTGGTAAGGATGACGACGATAGACAACGACGGTACGAGATGATGATAGAAGATGGTGATAGACGATGATGATAGACGATGATGATAGACGATGATGATAGACGACGACGATAGCTATTTGCCCGGACTTCGGACTCGGGCCGCATGGTATTGAGCCCGACGACGGTATGGTATCGGTGTGGCGTTCTTGTGAGGAACGCAACGGCATGGGCAAATAATGAGCGGAAAGAAGACTCGTCGCTTCATGACAACCATGCTGGTGGTGAGACTATAGACGAGAGAGTCTCTCACCAGGAACATACCTTTCCAAACAGCTGACCAGACGGCTGTAACGGCCCCTGAGTCAAGCTGGATGAATCGCCTCGCCCGTGGGACTCGTGATACGATAGGTGGCGCGGCGGGATCTGAGAACGCAATTCAGTATGAACCTCAGAACTCTCACAGAAGAGCAGTGCGCAAGGGAAGAATCATTGCCCAACAGTGTATACTATGTCTGACGGCACGCAAAGATACGCCGAGCACGACATACAGCTGAGTGGGCAGATGATAGACGACCGGGGGCTGTTTGTACTGTTACTCTATAGCAAGGAGGGGCAACATTGGTTACAATCAAGGTCGAGACTTGTAGAAACTTTCGGGAAAACAGACGTTTCTTGCTGTCGAACATGTCACGTGGGTAGATGAAGAAACAGAAAAAGGTTTCACCTTCTGAATCGAATAAAGAAGGCGAGATACATGAAGTCTGACGGCTCTTGCCTTTATATTTGAAGTTTGGCAGCTGCGGCTCCTTCAGTTTCCAATTGAGGACGAAGGAAAGCACACGCGCCTTCCGTGTTTGAAGCTCCTTCTTCAAAAAGCAGCAAAACCAATTAAAAGGGAAATCTTCTACCCCTCTCCACCTCGCTCTCCCTTCTTCCTTCACAAACGAGGCCTCACCCAAACCCCCAGGGCCGCAACCTCAACAACTACCACCCCAGGGGAGGACTTCGACCTACTCACCCAGATTCGTCACCTTTCATCTTTCTAGACTCCACGATTTCTTCCGTTTTCAACCCACCCGAAATACTTGGTTCCGGGTTTGCCCCACGTGGACGGCCGACTTGCTCTTCCTGCAACGCGCATCTCGATACTCGAGCAGCCTTGTGGCTTCACCACAACACGACACCTTCCGAAACGGATATCAACCCGACCTGGCCCACCAATCTCACCTTGAAATTCCATCTACCTGTAAGCACGTTTCGCACTTCTTCAAATAAAGCCCACCTCTGCCATCCAATCCGCCAGAAATACCACACCGGCGAATTGCTCCCAAGCAAGTCACTCTCCGAATTGAGGTATGCACTTTTCAGCCATTCTAAGAACAATCTTGTCATACCTTACTTTTCATAACTTTTCCCTCACTCAAGTTCATCTCACAACGACTCACCCACATTCTCTTGACCTATCAACCGGAAGCCTCCGAACGACCCCTTCAATGGATTCTTCCTCCACCCCAGAAGCAGCAAGATGTTCAAAAGAAAAGAAAAACAATAGCCCAATCCCGCAAAACTCACCCAGCCCAATCACCAACACGATCTGTTCTCTGCTTAACAACAGTTCTATTCTAACGGCTACTTGACTAACCATCTCCAGGTAAATTTCGTTTCGGAGGCTCCATTCGCCATCTCCAACCAACTGAGCAAGATGGCAAACATGACTCAATCTGCTGGACACTCGTCCTCAAACACGTCTTCTTCCAACGAATCGCACGCAGTCTCCGCCGCCGATGCCGATGAAGCTGCGCCCGTCAGCAACGCAGCCTCTCTGTCCAGTGCAGGCTCCGAAGAGCAGACTGAGCCCCTCTCGACCTTTCATCTGTTCCCACGCCTGCCTCCTGAGATTAAGAATATGATTTTAGAGTCAGCTGTCAACTATTCTCCGGCCGTGGTGCATGCGCGATGCATACTTCGCGGATCAGGACCAGGACCCAAGACGTCGACCAGCGGCGTGGTGAAGTTTCAAGCAAGCCACTTCACCAAGACTTCGGAATTCAAGGAGCTTATGAAACTTGGCGGCGCTATTCCAGACTTCAAGTCTTTCATCGAGCACAAGTTCGGCGCCAGGTTCGAGTCCCTCAGGGGAAACGTTCACCTCGCTTTGCGCGGCAATCAAGATATTCTCGCCCTGGACATGCGACTAGGCATGCTCATGGACTGGGAGTATCGTGCGAGTGGACTCTTCCGTCGACATAATGCCTATGGAATTCGTGAGCCAGGCATTCGCAACATTGGTATTTACTTCAACGACCAAAGGTGCAAAAGTCTAGCCTGCATGATTAGATGTTGGCCCCACGTGACCAACAACAGCCGCGAACACTTGGATTTGCCCTTCTGCCCCTACGAGCTTGCCATGTTCTCAAAGAACTTCTCTCACATCCAGAATGTCTTTGTACTCATCGTCCTGAAGCCAAATCATTTCGTCAGACACGAGACCGCCGAAGTCACGATTGACGAGGTGAAGGAGTGGGTTCGACGGAGGCAAGGTATGTTTGCATCTTCTCACAGCTCTAGATTCCCAGTGCTGTTATCTCTCCTACAGAGTCTGACATGATTGTTAGGTGAGGCGCGCCAGAAAAGCTTGGCGGTATTCCAAGATCAGCAGCGGACGTGGATTGAGATCGAGGATGTCAAAGGTGTGAACGACCAGCTGGTCAGTTCCATCACAGAAGTCTTCAACCTACTCAATCAGACCAAGAATGCGTTCAACATGCGCCATTCAAACATCAAGGACAGCGTCGTTCCGCGTCAGGACGTTCGTTTCCGTGTCCTGGCTTCCAATTTCTGGATGAAGTAGACACCGAAGGTAGTTTTGATGCGAAGTACACGAACATAGCAATAACAGCGCATCGTTGTTATCTGCGGCAATCAGAGAAGACTGAGAGGGTTGCTTTCGAGCTGGCACGCGGTTGCCATGGTATTTTCTTTTTGAACTCGGTCATAATGAGATATGGACTTGCGACAATCGGGGAAAAGTTTGGCATGGATAGCATTTACCAGCTGGAGGTATTTGCAGACGCAGAAAATGAGATTCTTTGTGCTTTCGAATCTCACATACCGTGACAAATAGACGTGGGTGCTTGACCTTTGCTCATCGCCGTTCGGATGTGTTCCGTTCCCTCGGAAGTCATGCCGATCGGCGGGCCTACCAGCAAGTGCCTGAGCAAAGATACATGTCTCAGGCGCCGCCCCCTTATCCCCTTATCACATGGAAGCTCACTTTCCTCAGCAGACGGCGCTCCAGCGCTGACATAAAGACTAATTTACAGTGGGTGTCTCGGCGCGGCATCGGAGGTGATTCGCTAAAACCGAAGCGGATTGACTAATTTGGACGGCGACATCGTCCGATGCCACAGCGATAACTGACCAAATCGAACCTTGCTCATCCTTCGCGACGTCACCGAGTTACTACTGTGTGTAATTTGAGTCTGAGCCACTGATACATAAAGTGCGTACCTGATCATCTCATGATATTCAAGGCAAGCCGCAGCCTGTGATGCATTTGAGCCCTCAAAAGCGACCATGACGACCGCGAGCAACCGCCCTATCGCCGGGCCTCAATGGCTCATCAACTCCGCGGACGCCTTTGAGGCGATAAAGCTGGTTTGTGTCCTAATCGCACCAAAAGACTTCAAATAGCGGGTTTCTAACACTATCGGTAGGCTATACTTCAATCTGCTCCGAAACTCCTCATCTCATGGCTCTACGTCCCCTTCGGCATCATGGCCATGCTCGCCGCATGCTTCGGCGTTAGCGTCATCTTCCAGACCGTCGGCGTCTCGTTCCCTGCTTCCGTCGCATGTCTCATTTTGCTGTTCTTCGGCTTGCTCCTGTCGGAATTGGTTCTTGGAAATCACAAAACGAAGGCCATTGTCGCGGTCATTGACGTGCCGGTAAGCATCTCGCTACTCAGTGCGACCACCGCACTAACTCCGGCAGGCTGGTTGGTCCCTCCGATGGATCAACGTCTTCTTTACTCCCTCCTTCATCATGCTCCCTCTCAGTCCCTCCATAGGGATCATAGAAGTCATGAAAATCATCGCCGTCTTCAGTAAGAAGCCCACCCTTTTACAAGCAGCTCCTAACGCCCTCCAGTCATCGGCTTCGTCACCATGATGGCCCTCGCCGCCTACCTTACCCGCGGCCTCCAACTCCTCCTTGGCTCTTCCAAACGAGCCCTCACAGAACGCGCTGAAGAAATGGGCAACGAGACCGACGAGATCCCGCTCGCCGACACCCCTCCGCGCACCGACTCGACCCCAGGATCGCGAACTATCTCCGCCGCGCCATCCTCTTTATCCCTCAACACCATCGCGCCGCCGCCCACCTCTCAAAATGCGACTCATAACTTCCTTCCGGCGACGAACAGCCCTCTCCGAGCGTCTGATAACGAAGATGAGACTCTCACAGTCCAGAATACGTCCCTCCCTCCTCAAGTCCCTATGCCAATGCCGCGCGCCCAGCTGTGGGCGGCTTGGATCTGCGCTCATCTCGACGTCACCATCTACGCCGCAATCTTCCTTTTCGTAGGCTTACCTGTCTACTACGCAACCGGATACGGCATGCCTCTCCATCTGAGCCTCATTATCCTGATCTACATGGCCGCCGCCTCGATCCCGGCGAACTGGCGCCAGTACCTCCACCCCGTGCTCGTCTCCTCGCTCTTCTCCGTCCTCAGCATCTGGGCTTTGGCGGCTATCCGAGGCGACAGCTTGCCGGCAACCTTGCAATCTTTCCGAACAGGCGCGAATTACACGTACTTATGGCTCCACACTCACTCTGGCCGCCTACCGGGCGCCGGAGACATGTTCAGTACCGTCCTCGATGCGAGCATTGTGTCGCTTGCGTTGCCAATGTACCAATACCGCCGCGAGCTGAAGCAGCACTTCGTCGCGATCGTGCTGCCTAACATCATCATGTCCATCGGCTGCCTCTTCTCGTACCCCAAGATCTGCTACGCCATCGGGATCAGCGCAGAGAGATCCCTGGCGTTTGCGTCTCGCAGCTTGACGCTCGCCCTCGCCCTCCCTGCGACGGAGAATCTCGGTGGTGACTCGAATACGGTTGCTGCGATTGCCATTATGAGCGGTATCGTGGGCGTGCTTGTTGGACAGCGGATGTTGGGATGGTTCAAGATCCCCGAAGGTCAGAGGTCCGGTTTCCGTGGGTGGATGAAAGGACTAACGTTTCAACAGATGACTATATCACTCGCGGTGTCACTCTCGGCGCCAACTCATCGGCGATCGCAACGGCCCTGCTTCTTCGTACGGACCCTCGTGCGGCTGCGTTGTCGAGTCTTTCCATGAGTTTGTTCGGCACTATCACCGTTTTATTCACGTCCATACCGCCCATCGCGAGCGTGATCAAGTCTCTGGTCACTTAATATTTCATAAAATTTGTACAGAGTGTGAAGTGAAAGAGCTTTTGGGACACCAGAAAAAAGTTCTGATGCCTCTCTAATCGAAGCAGACCGCCCCGACTACGCCGGAATGCTCGGTGCCAACGTCTTCCAGAAGTCGCATCTGGCTCCGCGTCCGCCCTCCCACGAATCTGCAGGCACGACAGCAATTTCATTCACCTGTCCAGGTGCCTGGAACTGTGTCACGGTTATACCCCACTGCGTGGTGAACTGATACGGCACGCCGCCCGTCTGGTTGAGATTCAACTGCTTCGGCTCCGTCTCTGTCCAAACGGGCCATTGGCTCGCCCCACTCGTCGCACTCGCCTCAGCGCTCGATGCACCGTTCGCCTCTTCATTGCTGATAGACGGGTCATTCTTCGTTATGAAGTTCCCCCATATCTTTCGGAACGCAAGAACGAACTCCGAGCCTTGGTTCGGGGTCGCCGGCCCAAAGTATGCGGGGACGTCGGAGGTGTGCCAGGCGAAGGGGACGGAATATTGGTAGTGCCAAGCAGACTTGGAACCTGTGAAGGCGGAGGAGAGCCAATAGCTCGGGCAGACGAACGTTTGCTCGGCGTATATGTTCTGAGGCTCACGTCAGCGCACCGCTTCTGATGGGATACGAGGAGGTATAGCTTACGATGGCTTGCTGCAGTGGTCCCGCCCCGGCTTGGCTGATGTCAAGGGCTGTGAGACCCGTCAGTCCGTTCGTTTCGAAGCGGGTGTCGTTTGCTCCGGTCTTTGTCGGGTTCTTTGCTATGATCTCGTCGATCTGTGCCCCTGAAAGGTTGGGAAACGAAAGTTTGAGCCAAGCTCCGAGATCGGAGTTACTGGCAATGTTGGGAGGTACGAATAGAGGGCCTTCATTGGCGTTGTTCTGCCGCACCAGTGTCAGTCCTGATCAAACATCAACAGCGGATCAACTTACCCCGACGAGAAGGCGTTCGCCATTAACCCTCTTCTGTGTCAACTGCTCACTGGCCAGGCTCTTGATGTATACTCCATCAGTGACCGGGGAGAATGCCCTAGATATCTCGATTAGCAAATGAAACCATTTAAGCCAGATTCAAGAGACATACCATCGGCCATAAGTCTGCTCGGCAGTGGTGTTTGCACTAGCTTCTTGAAGGATAATGCTATCCTTTCCTCGGAGGCATTCGAGAACGTCCGCTTCCAAGGAGCAACCCGCCTTCTCAGCGAAAGATTGGTACCTCTGAGTCGGAAAGTCGGCGTCGAATCCATATTGAAACGGGAGGTACGGTGAAGCCGCAATGCCCTGATCCGTAAGTCAGCAGTCGAACTCATGACAACACGGGATTGATCACTCACGTTTGTGAAAAACAGCGAACCAAGGCTGCCGTCCGCTGCTAGCGCATGATACATCACCGAACCTGCTCCAGCCGACTCGCCTGTAATCGTTATCCTCTTGTGATCTCCGCCGAATTTGCAGGCATGCTTTTGGACCCAAGCAAGAGCGAGCGCCTGGTCCAGCAATCCTGCATTTACCGCGCCTCGGGATTTAACATCAGCAGAAGACAAGAAGCCGAAAGCACCGAGCTATTGGCGGTTAGTCTTGCGGAACAGCTTGGAAGCCTAAGGACTAAGAAGCTTACGCGATATTGGATAGACACCACCACGAACCCATTGTCGTTCGCATTGAGAATTTCCGACATATCCTGCCGTCCATCACCAAAGCCGTATCCGCCGCCATGAATCCAGACCATCACCGGCAGGTCTTTAGCTCCAGCCGGCGCATATACGTTCAGGAAAAGGCAGTCTTCGGAGCCGGGGATGAACGGTGCCCCTGGGACGGCGGGATAGTTCTGCGGGCAAAAAGGACCGAATTCAGTCGCCGGTGTTGTCCCATTGGAGATTTCGGGAGACGGTGGTTGAGGAGGTTGCCAGCGAAGGGCGCCTGTCGGCGGCGCTGCGTACCGGATGCTGAAAATGGTCAGCCATAGCTCACCCTGATTGCAGAAAGTGAACTTGCCCTTTCCAGATGTTCAGCCCACCTTTCGCATTGCTGTAGCCTTCATACTTGGCATACCCAAGGTCCACCGCAAGGGCACTCAGCTGACACGAAACGTTCGGGGACCGTTTCTCGATGGCTTGTGTCGTCGCAATCAGCTCAGAAAGGAACGTTGAGGCGGCATCTTCACCCCTCCCAAACGACGGCGCGCCAGAGCACAAAGGTAGCGACGCCAGCGAAAGCGCAAAGAACCCGAAAGACTTCATCTCAACTTCAACCCTGTCGGTACCGAGAAGCAAATAAACAGCCAAGAGCAAAAGAAGCAGCGCAGGAAGCAGCCTTAAAGCAAATCTAGAGTCCCGCATTTTAAACGAAGCGGCAACGTGCCGGAAGGCACCTGGATACGACGTCAAACCTAACAGTCCTCGAGCGTGGCTTTTGTCATCTAGTTTAATTTGCAGGTTCTCCGCGTGTCCGGCCCCGGGGCGAGATCCTCGTGTTCCTTGCATGCGGGAGCAAGGCACGGGCCCAGTCGGTTAGTATAATCCAGGCTTTCAGGCGGCCTGAGAGTGGTGTTCTTACCGTTTAAAGACGGAGAGATGCAGTAAGATACCCGTGGAGAGAGGGGATGTCATGTCAGCGTTACATCGCTGCTGCAATGCTGATGCCGGGTTCCTCGGTCTCGGTGAGGGGCACGGGGTCCTGGATGCTTGAGTTAGTTGGGACGGCATATGGGGTTGCAGGGTTGGACACTATTACACGATTCATGGTTTCCCTGTTTTAACATCAAGTTGATTATTGATCTTAAGGGGTAGCTGGCATGGGATATATTGAAGCCTGTAGCCCGCTAATTTTTCTTCTTTACAAATAAGACTCTAATTGCTTCCGGTGACTGTTTAGATGTTAATCTCATGTTTTCATGTGAAGGTATTACTAAATATACTCCCGGCCGGCTTTCAGACCAAAGTAAGGTATTCTGGTGTTCGTCTGAAGTCGCGCATCCGAACGTCTCGATGTTTTATTCTTGGCTATTCGAGTAGGCGCATTTAAATGTCCGCACACGGCACCAATCTCTATCATCGTCGTGGTCTCGAATAATTCTCCTGCCATTTTCGCAGTTCATACTGAAATACCTGGCACCAGCAATTTGCCAGTTTCGTCAGCCGGTTGGACTTGCACCATATTCAAGGTCCGTATTGTTTAGAGCCCAGCTATCATCCCAGCTACACATTCTCTATTGTGCTGATGATCCACCCCATCCCAGTTAAATTGACTTGTCTTCATTGGACAGATGTCATCTGCATGTCATGAGAGCCAAGACCCAGCTGAGCGAAAGAAGCGGCTGATTTGCTGGAGTACGAAAATGGTTCCGATAACCGATTGGTCAGGCGAGACTCAGGCTATTAGCCGCATTACGTGAATTGGGGGGGGAGCAACACCTGACATCGCTATCAACATCACAGCCCGCAAACTTAGTCGCAATCTCTAGGGGTTCTTAGTTGACATCATGGGCTCAATGGTATCATCTGTCGAGAATCAACAAGCTCCGTCTCGACGCCTTCTAGAAGCTAGCCCCCTCGCGTTCAAACCGATTCTACTGAGTGCGCTATTGGAATGGTGTGAGCGGTTAAAAAATGACGCTGGTCAGGTCTGGCATCGTGGCTGCAAAATGAGCCTGGAGAATGAAGACCTATGGCGACAAGAGATGGAAAATGGCTGCCCATTCTGCACCCTCCTTTACGAAGCTGTTTGGAAGCTCTACGGCGACTATTTGATTGAGGGCCGGTCCCTGAAATGGACGGTTCCCTATCCACGTACGCCGGAGGCCATCCTCGATGATGGGGGAAACTCGATTTACTTTTGTGTCCCTGATGGTAGGTTCATTACTCGCGTCGCATAAGAGCTGTTCCATCACTGGTGACTACCTACTGATACTTCTGGCAGACGGCGATCTGGCTCTTCGTTTGCGAAGGTTCCCCAACTTGTGGCGTGGCAAAGGGCCCTCGGGCGACGTGAAGCCCATCCTTCGCAATACAGCCTCGGAAGAGACACTACAGACGATCACGGACTGGATCAATGAGTGCACGTCTACCCATCCTCTTTGCAGTAATGCCGACATCGCCAGGTTGCCGACACGGGTCATTGACGTTGGATCGGGAGAAGACGACATACGTCTGCACGAGACAGGACAGTCCATGGGGGTGTATGCATGCTTGAGTCATCCATGGGGCAAGCGGCCTTTGGTTCGCACGCTCAAAAACAACATCTCCCAGTTCAAGAGTGGAATTCCCTGGTCAACACTTCCGCGGACGTTCCAAGACGCCATCGACTTCACCCGCAGGCTCGGTCTGCAATACATATGGATCGACTCCCTCTGCATCATTCAAGATGACTCCCTGGACTGGCAAAAAGAAGCAGCTCAGATGGCAAACATCTACCAGCATGCCTACGTGACACTGGCAGCTTCTAAGGCGACCGACTCTAGTCGGGGGCTCTACACCTCGTCCCCAGACCCAAAGTACCAGGCCCAACAGCTTTCGCTTGTCAATGATGTTGATGACACGGATTTCCCGCTACAAGTGTGCTCTGATCTCCTTCACATAGATGGCTTCTTCGACTTCTTTCCTATTTCTCGACGGGCTTGGGTGTATCAAGAACGGCTACTTTCCGCGAGAGTCGTGCACTTTGCCGGCGCGGAGGTCAATTGGGAGTGCAATTCAGCGAGAAACTGCGAGTGCGGCCAAATTTCGTCTGGGGCGAGCGTCTTGCCCGACAAGATTCATTTTGCCGGCAGTTTAGCAGACTTGAGCGGGAAGTTCAAAGGGAAAGACCGAGAGCTTGCAGAAGCGGCCAGCGACACCACCAACATAAAACCTGACTACAGCAAGTTTTCGAAATCGCTCCTTCAATCGCCTCAATGGGGTCAAAGCGTGAAGGCTTGGAGACAGGCGGTGAAACAATACGCACAACTTAACTTGACCTTTTCAAAGGACAGGTTCCCTGCTCTCGCCGGTATTGCAAAGATGTGGAATTCACAATATCAAGACCAATACTTTGCTGGACTTTGGAGAGATTCTATTCATCTAGATCTGCTCTGGCTTGTGTACAAGCCTGGACGGAGGCCTGGTGAGTGGAGAGCTCCCACGTGGTCATGGGCTTCTCTCGAACATGAACACCAAGAGTTTTTCCGTTTCGACTCAGATGCCGATTGTCTCAACTCAGGGAAAGGGAGTTGGTTCTCTCTGGGCAAGACAGGGACTGAAGATTATGCCCCTGTTGCAGAGGTCTTGGAAGTGGTGTGTGTTCCTGCTGGTATTGATCCTACTGGAGAGCTTAGCTCCGCGCATCTCTCGCTGTCGACCTACGCTGTCCATGGAACTCTGCTTAAGTGGCCTGGAGTCTTCGTTGAATATGGATGCAGTCCAATTTGGCTTGTAATTGGAGACATGTGGGTTGCTCAAGGTGACACACACACTCGGGGTTTTCAGTTGGATACGCCGATTACACACACGGCAGGACCATGGTCGATGCCTGTTCAGATCATCCGTATCACAGACTTCGGTTTGCAGACCGGGAAGTGTCCCGAAATGGCGTGTCTCGTCATTCGGGAGAAAGATTCAGCGATGACTGGCGAGGCTGAGTATGAGCGAATTGGGTACGTTCGTTTCGTTGAGCATGGATTCTCTCAGGGCTTTACAATCTCGGCAGAGCATACAAGCTCAGAGCCTAGCATGAGGAGCTGGGCTATCAGATACCAGCGTGATGTTCGTGAAATTAGTGCAGAAGCAAGCGACGAGGAAAGGACTGCATTGGAACGGCTTACGAAACTTTTTCATAATTCAGGGCGTCACACCGTCAAGCTTGTGTGATGAATTTATGAAGAAGAAGATTGATCTTGTACCGGAGGAAAATAGCTTTTTGTGCACTACCTACTTATGTTAGGAGATCCTTCCTCGAAATGGGCTTGTTGCAAAGTGGCACTCGCCTAGCCCAAGAGTACTGCTATCCGGGCAGGTGGTGGGCTTAGACGATAGCGAGGACGACGGGGACGACGGGGACGACGGAGATAATGAAACTATTCAAATCAAACAAACTATTATACTTAATATGCTAGGTAAGTAGCTCTACGCATGAAAAGCAAAACTCTAGCCCAAAGACAATGCAACTCCTTGCTGGACCATGCATTCGAGCCATGTTAGTCTTTCTCCACCATCGCGAGCCTGTCATACATGTCGAGTCAGTTCCATCGCGTTTTTGTAAGTTGGAATTCTTCTGAATGATAACAGATGCTGGTGTGTCTGTTCAACCATCAGCCTTTGGTCTTGGCAGCTTGATTGGAGCTCCGAGCCAGCAATAACCAACAGTGGTCCCACCCAGTTGAGCAAGGTGTTCTGCTCTGGGATATTCTTGATAGTTCCAATAACATTTTGAACCTTCTCGCTGAGCATCCCGAGTCGATAGAATCCAAAGGTTCACACACGCTACGCGCTTGGTAGAGCATTATATCGCCCATGCTTCTGTACCCTTCACTTAGGCGTCTAGCTGAGACACGGCGGGACACCCTTCCGGGGACTTCCATTACAGGAGTCTTCTTCTCAGATCTTGGTCCTTCTCCACACACCATTCCTTCAGTTCCACAACGGCGCGGTAATACTGCCCTATTTCAGCGATGATGGGACATAAGGTAGTCGCGATTCCCGTAACAGGGTGGATCAATGTGCTCAAGGGCGGCCTGTGGGTAAGGGAAATGACCCTCTGGTCTGGCATTCTCTGAATCGACGCAGAAACCAAATAAGGTGAGAAGCACTCCAACACATAAAAAGCGAACTCATCGGTCGGGTGGAGGCATACGCATTAGCCCCGTACAGCCAAGAAGAAACTCCATCCCAAAGTCTTATCTCGAGGAATCCAGCTAGCTTGCTGAGAGGTAGAGGATAAGAGAGGAGAGAATTATAACACGAATAAGGATAGGATAGCTTATTATTAATTAGATCTAGCTAATTTCACCCTATAAAGAGATAATTACTAAGTTTCTCTCCTAAAGTATATCTATAAGTCCGCTCGAAATGAATTCCTTTTCGATAGCTATCCGATATATATTAGATTATATGACGTAATGCCTTAGATCGTTGAAGTAGTTTTGTTATAGGGAATAATAGAGGATTTATCAAGAAGAAACTCTATCCTAAAGTCTTATCTCAAGGAATCCAGCTAGCTTACTAAGAGATAGAGGATAAGAGAGGAGAGAATCGTAATATAAATAAAGACAGGATAGCTTATTATTAATTAGATCTAGCTAATTTCACCCTATAAAAAGATAATTACTAAGTTTCTCTCCTAAAGTATATCTATAAATCTACTCAAAATGAATTCCTTTTTAATAGCTATCTAATACATATTAGATTATGTGACGTAGTACCTTGGATCGTTGAAGTAGTTTTGTTACAGGGAATGATAGAGGATTTGTGGGTGGCGGGAACATAGCCATGATGAGACATGCTTCCTCATACCAGTATCGCAGCGTCTCGTTTTCCGAGGCTGGACCTGGCACGGAACCTTGGCTGGTGGTGAACCACGGGCGTTCGATCCTCCATGTCTTGTCGATCTTGAAATTGCCGGTGCAAGTTTCTCGACGCTTTTCGCAACGGGAGCAAACCGGCTTTTTCTCGTCGCATTTAATCTTTCTTCTTTTGCATTGCTCACAACCAGTGCGTTTCTTGATGGATTTCGTTGTTCTCGTTGTAATTACTGACGAAGAATATCTCAAATTGGCAGCATGGCTCTCCATTGTGGGCGTCACGTCACAAATCTCAACACTGTTTTACAGGAGTAGCGGCAAGTAAGTATCAACTGACATGCCTGAGATAACATTATTCCATCAAATTACCCTTCATATGGGCCGGAGACTTTCGCCTCCAAATATCCCGGGCTCCGCAGATAGTGTCGATTTGAAGATACTAACAAAACCGATACCAGGACTATCTTATCAATGCTACGTATGCAAGATTATGCGGGCGTTTTGCCTGATTAGGACGACTGACATTAAATTTGTTGACCAGCTTAAACAGGCAGTCTGAATGAGACCAAGTAATACAATGATTCGCATAGCCCGCAGCCAACGCTTACATTGAAGGGGTGGTGAATTCTCGGGCGCTGCCCTCTTGTGCCTGTCTCTTCTCAAACTCCAACTTCTTCCATTCTGCACCCACCCGGAAGTCGCGGAGGTCGTCGTAGTGTCGACCCACCAAGTATGGAAGGTAAGCTTGACCGCAACCCAGTTCATGCTCCTCTACGACCATGTATTCAGCCTTTCCGGAGACATATTCCATATCACCGATAGACAAGATCGGCATGCTGTGGAGAGGATCCGAAGACGTGCCTCGAACTGCCAATCGGCCTTTTCCAACAGATCGCCGGGTGTCGTCCTCAACGACGGTCAGAATGTTCACTCTAGGCTCCCACTGAAGTCCCTTTCCCATGGAGTGAGGATAAGCCTTGATTTCATAGGCAGTCGCCTCTCGTTTGCGGGCGGGGAGGTCATCGCGAAACTCTCCCACCAGCTCGATAAGCCGTACGCCGTTCCGTTCAGCGTAGGCATATCGATAGTTTCCCGATCTCCACATCCGGCATATTCCCGTCTCTTTTGACCTCCCCCAAACCTCTCGGCCCCAAGTCACTGGGGTGTCGCCACTGATAATGAGCTCCAACATGTGAGTCCCGGGGCGGCCTCGAAATTTGACGTCGATGGAGACCATGACGCAGTCAAACTCGCCACAGAGCCTGCTCTCCATCGTGCCGAGGCTAATATGGCCCCTGGGTTCGTCCCCAGGTTCGAAACTAGGGGGAAGGACAGAATTGATGAGTTCGGGTGTTGTAGTAAAGTCGACGGTGATGAGCTCCTGGGAAAAGGAAGGTTTGGAAGAGAGTTCCTCCCAGGCGCGAACCTCTTCAGAGGTGGTAGCGTAGGATATTTCGAAGCGTCAAGAGATAGAATAGAACTTGAAGAATGAGTTAGTAGACTTTGTTTGCGTGTAGATAATGTCTGGGTAGGTTGATAACGGTGTAGTACGCCGTGATATTTATCAGTGAAACCTCCTTGTGAGCGTCTAAGAGCCCCGACCAGGTCTTTTATACCTCGGATGATCCAGATTCGCTCAATTATCATGTCATATTAGTTTTTGGCCTAGATGTTGTTATCGTTTCCGCGGTCAAACGCATGATAAAGCTCGCACTCTATCCAGTCTAAGAATAAGTGTCAGTCTCGACCGCATATTTGGCTTGTGCGTCGTAATTTGCTGCGGCATCTATCGCTATTTTGGTTATAAGTGCGAGGCCCCGCTCAGTAGGGGTAGCTTGGTGAGTTCCTGTAGAAACTACCAAGATAACATTTTGATGCAGGCTGCAACAAAATGTGAAGTTCTGAGTATATAGAAATGTTTCCACAGTCCTTCGCTATTCCTCGACTGGCTTTCTTGATATACCTCTCCAGCTACGACTTATAATCTATATAATGACCAGGGTTGTAATCGTCACCGGCGTATCATTCGGCCTCGGCTGCGCTATCTCTATCGCATATTCAAAGTAGGGCTGCAGCGTCGTTTGTGGAGATCTGAGTGGCCAAATTCTAGTTGGCGAATCGCAAACAACTGTCGGTCTCATTAATGAAGTGCAGCTCGGACGAGCGATAATTGTCTCAGTCGATGTTAGCGACTCTAATAGCGTTTAGAACCTCATATCCACAGCTGTTTCTCAATATGGCCGACTGGATGTTATGGTTAATAACGCGGGGATATCTCTAGAGTTATATAATAAGCTCGGCCCCAAGCTAATCACAGAGACCACTGACGCTACGTTTGAAAAGACAATGGCAGTTAACATGAGATCCGTTTTCCTGGGTTGCAAATATGCCATCCGCCAGTTCATGACCCAGCTGCTGTTGACATTGGGGAGCAGAGGCTGGATCATCAACACCTCCTCTGTTTATGGTTTGCAGGCGGAGATTAACCACGGTAAGGACATTACATGCTGGCGAATACTGAGTGCGGTATGGCTAACGTACGAGGATAGTGTCTTACTGCATAAGTAAAGCAGTGGTCACACATATGACTAAGTGTGTTGCGCTCGAGAGTGCCCCCGCAAAGATTCACTGCAATGTCATCTGTCCTGGGTGTAAGTCACTTAGCGGTGTGTTGAGCATTGATAATAGCATTAACCTCATGATAGTCATTCGAACAGGCATGGACAGCAATCTTCATTCCGATGAAGCCACGTTGGATGCGACTGTTGCATTGCATCCGTGGGGAAGTCTTGGAAACCCAGGCGACGTTGCTAAAGCTGCGGTGTTCCTTGCTAGTGAGAATGCAGGATGGATCACGGGAGTTTCCTTGCCCGTTGATGGCGGGTACATGGTGGGGTAGGATTGGCTTTTGAAAGGTATCTTTGCAATCATTTCTAGCTAGCCATGATCCCTGTGATCTTCCAGGTATAATTTGATGACGTTGGAATCAAAATCGAGGTTACAGTGAAGGCCTGGTTGTTGTGTCTGATTGCAAAGGGTGCGTCAGTATGTCTGAAGTCAAGTCATCATCCTCCCAATAACGCTCGTAAGATCGCACAAAACATCTTCAGTATTAGATTTGGACTTCCGCAGAGAGTAAATGAGCACCCAGGGCAGATCTATAGTTGAAGAATTCTTCAAGGATCGGATCCCCGAGTTACACTGCATGCAACCCACACTTTGCCCAATGTAGACAATGTGCGAGGTTCTCCATAGTAACCAGGCACTCCTCAGATATGACGCTGGCGTCCTGCATGATAAGATAAACAGATCTGTCGCTCTTTACCAATCTCGGAATATGTGCGAGGAGCTGTAGGATCCTGGATGCCCCATGATTCGTATATCTCCGTCTCGGAGAGGTGCCAATGAAAGCACTCCGTGACATTGACGATAAATTGCGGGGTCGTTTAGCGCTCGCACCATGCCATCTCCAAGTAGCTTGCCACATATCGCAGTGCCGAAGATAGACGTTGGGAATGGTTTCTATCCCCGATGGCCCGGGTACGTACTTGTCATACACCTCGCGAATACCACGCTTATTGCCCACCCTCTAAGCTTACCAGTAGCTCAGGTGTTTTTCAACGCAAGCTTTGACTTAGAAATACCATGAGCTCCCTAGAATTTCTCTACGAGTTACTACATGATGGATGTAGCAAAGGACCATCCATCAAGTCCCACTCTTTATCATCGCTGCTTGTCTCCCTCACCTCCAAACCATAGCAACCTGAGCATGTCGGACGTTGGAGCAAAACCCAACGACAAAGCCTTCGCGCAAGTACCGTCCATTGCTGACGGTCAACAAGTCGAACAAAAGCCGTTTACCGTCTGGACCGCCATGGGCATCGGCCATTCCATCACCAACACGGCGGTAGGCATCATCGTCGGGCTATCGACAGGGATCAACTTTGGCGGAGCGCCCGTCTTCTTCTACGGTTTCATTCTCATGGCGATTGTTGGCTTTGCCGTAGCCATTAGCCTCGGTGAACTCGCTTCCGCCTTGCCGCACTCCGCAGGCCAATACTACTGGGTTGCCGTGCTTGGCCCTCCCTCAATACGACGTCCGCTGTCATACCTGACTGGAGTCATCACTTGGGCCAGCGCAGTCTGCGTCTCAGCTTCCGTCTGCCTGGTGGTCACCCTCAGTATTTTCAGCATGGTCGCAATAGCAAATCCAGGATTTGTGTATCAGCCATCGATGGGCTTTATTGGTTTTCAGTCCATAAACATCCTCGCGTCCGGGTTCAACTTTTTCGAACGCTTGCTACCTTGGGTTAGCAAGACGCTCCTGCTTTACACATGCTCAATGGTCTTCGCCGTCTTCGTAGATTTACTAGCTGGAAGATCCGAGAAGCAGACAGCTCAAAACTTCTTTGCCGAAATGTACAACGTTTCCGGGTGGCCCAACGGGGTCGCGTTCCTGATAGGCCTCAGCCCAACAAATTAGGCGTTTTCATGCCTCGACGCCGTGGTTCATCTGACGGACGAAATCCCTCAACCGCGCAAAAACATACCAATGGCTCTCCTATGCACTGTAGCACTGAGAACATTCACTGGCCTTCCGATAGTCTTCGCCCTGTTCTTCTCAGCCACGGACTTGTCGGCCGTCGCCGCATCTATCACGCCCTCCCTCGAGTTGTTTTATCAGGTCTACAACAGCAAGACAATAGCCATCGTACTTCAGAGCCTCGTCACGCTTTCGGCAGCGGTTGCCATGATTGGCTGCCACACTTGGCAGTCTCGCATGGCGTGGGCGTTCAGCAAAGATAGAGCGTTTCCATTTCACAGACACATGTCGAAGATAGCACCCAAGCCATTCGATGTCCCTATCTGGGCACATGTCTGGTCCTGCTTCTGGGTCGGTCTTCTCGGATGTCTCTACCTAGCGTCGAGCCTTGCCTTCAACTCCTTTGTCTCGACAGGCATCTTGCTGCAGTACATCACATGTTCGATAGGAATTCTTTGTCTCCTGTGTACGGGCCGTTCTGAGATGGCACATGGACCTTTTTGGTTTCCTAAGCTAGGCTTCATTGCGAACATAATCACGTTGGCGTGGACCGTTATCAGTGTCGTGTTTTATTCGTTTCCCTACTACCAGCCAGTGGCGACTGAGGAAATGAATTATGCGTCGTGCGTATTAGCAGGAGTCGTACTCTACGCTCTAGGTTATTGGATTACAATCGGAAGAAAACAATACGTCATGCCACACCGAGGGTAAGAGTTGGTGAAAGTCCCTTTTACGCGAGAAATCCCGGGCTCAGGGAAAATTTACAATTGTCGTTCTGCCGTGTGTGAGTAATTCCAATGTATTGTGGCAATATCTGAATGAGGCTCTCAATTTATTCATGTATATGTTCACGGGGCCTTCCAAAAGAGAGTGCCATCTTCTGTGTGTTTGCAGCCACTGAAGGAGCCTTTGTTAAGTTTCTTCATTTTCCATGGTAAGAGGCAAGCGGGCAGAGGCACCGGCAGAGGTAATTGATGAATCAGGGCGTGTCAAATGTTACACAAATCCACGAAACGGTGTGATGCAAGAGAACTGATTCGGTGTGCCAAGAACATAAGCAACATATCCTGAATCTCAGAGCCTGCCTTATCACGGCATATCAGGCAGCACCGCAGGAAATGTTGTAATATCTGAAGCTCTTCCACCCCTGGGCCACCCCTGGGCCCTTTCTATCCCTCCAAGCTTGTGCTCGGCCAAGTTCTCTCCAACTCCTGAACCATCTCCTTCCAATCAATTCACAACGTTCTCACAGCCACGAATTCATCGTGGACAATGACATTTCGAAGTGTCCTGAGGATAGCAACTCAACAGATTGCCTCCTTCGGACTCTCTTTCAGCTTGTTGGCGATCAAAACAGAGCGGACCATGCGAAAATCGATTGGGACCCAGTTACATTCGTCTTCATCGCCATCATCGGCGTCATAGCCATTGTTTTCGCCCTCATTCCTGTCGTCCAGGCTTTCCTTACTGCTGGACGAGCGAATCGAAGGGGCAGCAGGCGCGCAATTGGTCCCTGGTCAGAGAATAGAAAGCGACGATGGAACAAATCCGAGTGGACTTTCGATTTTGTGGTTCAGGTCCCCATCTTTCGCAGCCTAAGCCTGCAGGCAAAGATGTGGAAAATGGATAGCGGGAAGAAAGTGATACGAGTGGAGAGATACGCGGCCCCGGACCGCGCAATGAGAAACAGGTTGGACGGAAGTACACCTTCCAGCAGATAGCAACAACATGGCCGAACTTTTTCAGAATGGTAGGCCTAGATGGAGTTGTGATGCAGGACGAGTATGGATTCTCCCGGTCAGTGGACGTCGGCTTTTTGCCCGATGATCTCGTTGCCACACCTGCATACGCGGAGATCGGGGTGATTAGTTCCACCGCTGCCTTGTATCCGGACACACACACTCTGTTGCTAGAAGGGACTACTAGCTATCCTATAATAATCAGTCACAGCTTTCAGTTTGAATTTCGCCAACACCCCTTACTAGGGCTTGTGGGCGCATGTTTGGGTTTCGAGTTCGACAGCAACCACATTTGGACCGCCCCACTTAAGCTTTCAAAATCGGACCACGCAATGAAGCATGCCCATGGACAGATTCAAATCCATTTCGACGGATTTATCTGCGACTACCACTCGACCGAGCCCATCGCGTTTTCGGGTCCCCCAAACATAAAGATGGTAGACTTCTCTGAAGAGAGCCTTTCCACTTTGGAAAACTCAGTGGATCAGGCTTTTCGTCGCGCTTCCGGCACCCCGAGATTCTTCCTTCCAGAGACTTGGATGTTGGAGAAGTACCAAGTATCACTTGCTAGCAACTTCTTGTTAAGAGGGCCAGAGCATGTACTCGCAATATTTCTAACCTCGAGGTTGGGCGTCGACTTGCCGCTGGTTCCTCTTGCACTCAACGGGAAATATTGGACAGAAGTAGATCTTGACAGCGTCGAAGAACATCTTGAAAGGTTTTACTTTTGGGACGTAACTGCGAAGCCCCTTAGGCCTGATTGGAAACGCTTCAGATGGTGCGACCAGAATGAAGACCTCGTGAAAAAGCATGGACACGAAGGATTCAATGAACCACCAAACAGTTCCCAATCAACAGATGAACTTCCGACCGAAGGCTGTAGAACTGCACTTTACAATTGCCTTAGCTTACTCCGGTCCCCTTTCAACACGAAGCTTGAGTTTGCGAGGTTCCTTCAATGTAGCGTGCAACTCCGGGAGCTTGCTCCAGCTCAGCTGAAGGAGGTGGACGAGTGGCTTGACACCAGCTACAAGAACCGCCAGGGCTATGAGATCGTCAACACCCACGCCAGTCGCATTTGCACGACAACCATGCTGCTCTTGGAAACTGTGGAAGCTACGCGCAATGGGACCTTTGAGAACCCAGAAAAGTTGAGAGGTCCCAAACTATTTTTATACTGCAACCTAACAGCCTTTGAGAATACCACGAAAACCGGATCGAAGAAAAAAATGACAATCACCACTCTGGAATCTTACAGCGATACTCTGGTGTCCATCCGCCAGCTTCTAGACCAATTCAGCTACATCAAGGCACATTTCGACTTGGAGGGGTCACATCCTAGCTTACAACAGTCTGTGGAACATGACGATCTCCTCCGGTGGTTTCGACAAGAAGCGGGTCACTATCTTGGCTTTATGGAAGACCCAGCAGACAAGATGACGGGACAGGAATTCGACGACTATCTTTTGGGCCTCCACAATCAGTATGAAGCCCTGTTAGGTCCAGAATACAACAAGCCAGAAAGGCGTTCCAACACTCATGAGGCTTTAGATAGGCTTGGTGAAATAGTGGTATCTTACTCAGAGAAAGAAGACAGCTGCCATTACGAGATCGCCACGGTGTACACAAGCTGGACGACGAAGGAAGAGAACTAGATGATGTGACTATTTATCGTTATCTCCTTGTCGCCCTTCTCTTCCGAACAGCGGTGGATAGTACCGAGATACTCAAGTCAAGCCTGTGGGGGCATGTTGTACCTGTTTTATGAGATGGGGTCACTGGTTTTATGGAGCTAAATAACTAAGTCGTGTCGTGTTCACTTGATAATATTGATAACATTTCCTGTTTTCAATATTCGACACACTAAGTGCTAGATTCTGAAAAGTGATGACTTAACTGCATGCGAAGAACATAAGGGGGTCTCTGAATAGGTTGTGAAAAGGCGCCAGAAACGAGTTGGCTGCACTTTCTGAAGTTTGATCTGACATTGCTTCTGCTACGGGGCGAGTAGATGCGACGGGGAAAGACGCTAGAGCTTTCTCTCATCAGTAAGAGTAAATGGTAGAATTTCATTCGATACATGAAACATTTGAAAGTGTATATTGCTTTGGCATGTCTGAGAAGTCGAGAAAAAGTTGACAGTTGTAAAGCTAGCCAGGCAATCGGCAGGGCAGGCACCTAATAATTGGAGGCATCTACGAAAACGAATGTAAAGCAAGGGTATAAGCTTGGTGTCGTCACCGCATGCTGCACGCCGCCTGTTTTATATCCTCTGAAACGCAAAATCCACCTCTCATGCTTTTGAACGGCGAGGCAGAGAGTCTTTGCATGTTTACACTTGGCCTCCAGGAAAGACTGGTTGGTAGTTCGTAGACAAAGTAGATAGAGCTCAATTGAAATAATAGAATCAAATCACTTTAGGAGAACAAGATTGGCTGTCTTCGATTGCCCGATTCCAGCACAGGGGTTCCCGACCTGAACCTCCTTATCAAAAGACCTAGTCCAGCTCTTCTCAACGTGCCCTTATTATCCTCATCTTCTACGACGATCAACCCTACAACCAGTTTAGCAAAAGCCCCCACTGAAACAAACTGAAACTTCGTTCCTGAAACATCCTCGTCAGAGTCCTCATCAAGAAAAACCACGCCAATCGTCTCTCCGCCCAACTCTATTGGACGATAGAACTGCACGCTTCGCAGAGCATCGAATACTCCATCGATCGTTGTCCACAAATCTTCGTGTGGGGGTTCATTGCTCGGCTTCGATCGCCTCCCGAGACGCGGTAAATCAACAAGTGTTCCATGAAACAAAAGTGATATGTTCTCTTGGATCTGGTAGGGTTCAGACGTGTCCCGATGACTTATGGTGTTGATTAGGTGGTCTTTGTCAAGACTGATAAGATGTTGGCCCGTCATTGGGAGCCGATGATAACTTATGGGTGCCTTAGATTTGAGAAAGGCGCGATATTCCTCCTCCTCTTTGTTAAGGGGAAGAAAGTACTTGATCGAACCATCCAAGGAAGCCCAAGATAGACTTGGGGCTCTGAGAGGCTTGGGTCGCTTAGCAGATGTCCCATCAGCTGTGTACCAAACAAGCTGAGATGGAATATCGCCATTGATCCACAGCCCAGAAATGTAGCCATCGCGTGATATCATTTGTAACTTGGTAGCTATACCAGTCATGGCTGGTAGTTTATCTCGATCGTTAGTCAGTCCGCATCTAGAATAGATTTCCACTATCGCAAACCATTGTGATAGTGATTTTAAACTTCGAAGCGCAATCATCTTGCTATCATCGTCGGAAAGTGGTCTTGCGAGCATGGGGGTGCGGGCATCGCGAATGTCTCGTTTGCGGCCAAGTTCCGTGACTCCATCTTTCGTCTCAATGTATACTGCCGAGGGGAGGAAATGCAGTATTCTCTTGGAGAGTAAACGCTCTTGTAGTACCCATCCACGGTGGCTGATTGAACTGTTGCTGGTCATCTCAGCCTCGAAGCCTCGGGATAGAGCAATCTTCCAAAGCTGCCCGGAACCGTCGCGCCGAATCACATGGAAAAGAGGATTATAATTGTGAAGAAACCCCTCTTCATCTGATCCGGCGGTGTGGGCGGCAATAGTGAAAATGGAATGGGTATAGATGCTTCCCATCAAACTCGACTCTCGTTCCCAATCTTCGGTATCATCCTGGATTATGCAGAGAGAATCGATCCATAAATACTGAACATCTAGGCATCTGCAGAGTTCGATGGCGTCTTGGAATACGCGAGGAAGGTGACCAGCTGGAACTTCCTGGATATGTTGACTCAGTGTATCCTTGGTTGTGAGATGATCACGACGAGCTCCCCAGCGGTAGCTCAGAGTAGCATAAATGCCGCTGGAGCCTGGCGCAGGCTCTACGAGATGTATTTTTCCGTCGGGACACTGTAAATCTAGTAGTCGAGTGGGAAGTGTCGCACAGCTTTTCTCTTGGAAATATTCAGCGATGGCCCAGAGCATTACCATGGCAGCTCCCCTGGAATCCTCAAAGGCCTTCTTAGGGAAGACCATATCGGCTGAAGCGAAAGGTACGTTTGACTCTACATGAGGTTTTAGTAGGAGATCCTAGGACATAACACACAAATAAAAGGAGAGGAGAGGATCAGTAGGTACAGCTGGTAGAGGGTGGAGAGTGGTGCATTCAAGAGCTTCCAATTCCTCACTTTCCAGACTCTAGGAGTGCCGAGGCTTTTGGGTATTATTCGATGAACGTAAGAACAGAATTATGGATTCTTAATAGGGGAAATAATGTGAACTTACTGTCCACGTCCAAACCGCATGTTGCTTGCGGAGACCAAAAAGCCCACAGGCGCCAGCCAAGGGTCTCTGAGCCGCACGACACGCTTAGCATGGCGATCCAGCCTGGGAGGCCGGGCGCGAACTCGTTGTCTGGGCTAAGAACGCTGTTCTCAATGGCTTGATCAATTGCGCCGAAATCATTCTGATCTTCTTGCAATGCGCCAGTGGCTAGGCAGAATGCGCGTCGAAGTCCTGTACAGATGAGTTCGCAGATCGGGCAACTAGCAGCTGATTGCACTAATTGCAGGTAGCCTTTGATGTGACGCTGGGTTCCAGAAACAGAAGTCCAGTTGATAGCCTCGCACGAATTGCAGAGGTCTCCGTCATGAAAAGGGACTAGGTTGCATAGCGGTCAGTGGGTGAAGATTGGCTTGGGTAGAGTATACACAGAAAAAGAAGAGGTATCATGAGAATGGGACGAAGAACATAGATACCGCGTGTCGAAGAGGTGAAGCGCATTTTGGATGATGCAGCTCTGATTTTGTTAGTGATTTTGAAAACAGATCATTCAGACGGAAAATTCCAAACCCTTCACTCAAGACTATCACCGCTATTTGAATACAAACAGACCTAGTTTTGGCCGTTTTGCCAAGTGACAATGATATCTGCTCGGGTGCCTGAAGTTGTGATCTGCCTCATGGTCTGCCTTGCGTAGCACATAGAACATGGGTCAAAGCAGGTTGCCAACAACGCCAAATAAGCAAGCGTAGTTGGCAGGATACGGCCCATTTCGGGGCCAGCTTGGCCGCAGTCTTCTTTCGAGGTCGCCTGTTGGTGACACACCGCTATTTCAAAAGCAAGATAAACAAGTAGAAAAAGGGAAATCATCGTCGTTATAACTTTCTGCCCCTGAGGGCGTTCTTCAATCATTTGTAGCCTTTTGTTATGAGGTGATATTTGACACATCCATGGCGTTGCAGCTGACCAACATCCCTGCGATGAAGCAAGGTCAACGAACGCACACCTCCTAGGTGTTTGTACAGCAACGTAGTAGAATTGATTCTCCTTGGCCCTGCGTATGGCTGGCCTGAGTCGCTCCATACCTTAATGAACTTATGAATTTGGCTGTGCTTGATATGGCAGTGCACAACGGATGAAACTTGAAAGATTTTCGAACATGTCAATATCGTAGCCTGCCATTTTCCGTCGGGTGTCTAATAATCAGTACTAGTTCTTGGTGATCTTTCACTTCCTAAAAAGCAACCACGTAGCAGAAATAATCAATAACTCGCATTCCAGTAGCCATACCTAAGGGGTCCATGTTGTTACGGACAATCCAGCCGACCCGTATTCCCATCCCAAGCAATTGAACCGTCCAATTCATACAAAGCACACGCTCTCTCGCCCGTGGTTTTCCATTCATCACAGCCCAGATATACCCATTCATCCATTCCTCATTTCCTCTCCTCAAAGTAAAACTTGCCCAGCTTCTCTCCGCCCTGCGGGCTCCCCATCGCGACGTTGCCGACCCTGCCCTCACCCCCGTCAAGCCGTTCTCGGATGACGCGCTCTGCGGTGTCTCGGGCCGTCGGTGTCGTGCTAGGATTTGCGCGCGGTGTTTGACCTGGGAGGTGTGAGACGGAGACGGGGGGCTTATTGGTGGTGTCGACAAACATTTCTTCATCGGGAACGCCGGCGCCGTCATTGGTCATGCCGTCCATCATCCTCGCCTCCCGTCGCTCCTGCATGGCGGCGGCGCTTACAGGGGTGTCGCCGCCCATGGTCACATCTCTCGCTCGCTGCGTCGGGATGCCGTCGCTGAGACCAGACGCGCTCCTCTCGAGACCCCATTGGGCTCCGGGAAGGGGGCGGCGCTGATAGATGGGGCCGGATACCGTGCTGTTGGCGCCCTCGCCGAATCCGACGAGACTGGCGGAGCCGTCGTCGCTCATGCGGTCGTCGTATCCGCCGGTGGAGCGGTTGGTCATGTCCTCGTCCATCTGCTCCGGCTCGGCGCCCATGCTAGTAACGGAATCGGCCTCGCGGTAGTTGGTGTCCATGCTGAGCATGTCTTCGTCCTGCTCGCCAGGGGCGGTGCGGGTCTCGTTGTCGTCGCCGACATAGCTCTCGGTGGCGCTGGCGGTGCCGACGGTGCTCATCTTGGTGTGTGCGGTTGGGGTACCGTGGGCATCGAAGTAAGCTGCCTGGAGGTGCGTGGCGGGCGGGTAATTAGGAGGAAAGCCGGTGGAGGTGGGCGTCGTCTGGGGGGATAGGGAGGAGGCGGCGTGGTTCTGGGTTTGGGGGGGTGCGCGGAGGGTGGAAACTCGCTCGAGGCCGGCGAGGCGGGAGATGCGGTCGGCGCGCTCGGCTTCGAGGCTCGTGGTGGAGGGGTGGTGGGCGTGGCCACGGCCGGTGGGACCCTGGGGGAGGTGACCTCGGTGACCATCTTTAATAGCGGTGGTAGAGAGGGCAGACAGCGAGGTTGTCGTGCTCGTGGGGGTGCCACTGGAAGATAAAGGTTAGTGATTGCCTAGACGACGGGGAGGAGAGGGAGGCGTACGGCATCTCAGACGGGGTGTCTGGATTGGAGGTGGCGGGAGGGAGGTTGATGAGGGTGGGATGCGATGCCGCCATGATTGCTGAGATGGGCGCGGCGGTGTCAGAGTTGGGAGAGAAGTTGTCGCAATTCGTTGGCGTGAAGGATGACGGCGGTTAGGTTTTAGAGAAAGGGATGCGGCGGCGAGTGGGAAGAGGTGGAGGTCGTAAGTATGGTAAAGTAAGGTAAGGTGACGGGAGGATCAAATTCGGCGAGATGTCACGGTAGTCCCCTGATCCATGAAAGTGAAGCGTGCGACGGCGGGACCTCCCCTTGCAGATGACTGAACCAGAAGCTAGGCCTGGTAATGCGGCGTGGTATGGGAGAATGGCGTGAAGAAGCAAAAGAAGGAAGAGGAGGATGTCGGCGAGTATAACAACAGCGACGACGATGAGGACAATGGACAGGTCGACGAGGGTGGGATGCCGTGGTTGATGAAGGACGGACGCGGGCGTGCAGCTGAAGGTAAAGGTAAGGTAGTGTTGGTGGGGGAGGGGAAGCGGGCAGACGGGACTATGGAGTCCTGTGGTGTCCGCTGTGACGGTCGACCTATGGACGGGGACCTGCCCACTGTGGTGGTCTGGCCCGACAGGCAGCCCGCGCAATGGGAATGGGCTGGGCTGCCCTGGACCCAATGATGACAGTGAAGTCCCCTGCGCTGCGCTTCACCAACCAACCGCAGCGGCCGGTGCAGGTAAGGCGCGGCTTGGTCCTATGACGTAGCCCCCCGGTACCCTGCACGCCCCGCCTGTGTTTGTCTCGTGGTGTGTGATTGGCCGAAAGCCATCGATCGTGATTGGGTTCCAGCGTCTGGACCCTCAGGCAGCGAGCCAGACCCCAGGCTCAGGTCCGCGATTGGGCCCTGGACCCTGAATGCCGGTGCTTGACGGTCCCTTCTGTCCCTGCATTGTGCCACTGTCCGCTGCTTGGAACCTGCAATTAGGGGTCACCAAATGCCAATCTCGACACGCATCACTCGGTCCCCTCCGATGACTATTCGCTCTTCCCGTTAAGGCCGCACAATGATGCCATTGCGCATTCCTCCTGGGATGAGATTCCCTAGCCCATATCCCCGGGAACCGAGTGTTTCATTCAGAGGCCTCGTTTCCTTGGCCTCGCTCATTTTGAAGGCGCACTTTGTCTTTCAGTTGTCGATGTCCCACAGCTGAATATCTTGATTGAATGAAGGCAGAATGCAAATTGCATGTTGACACATGGCCAAGGTCTGATATACAAGGCACATTGCCAAAGTGCCAAAGGCGATTAAGCAATCTGACTGATGAAGCTGAAGAGGCCAACCAAACAGGCGAATGTCACCACACAACAATCTCATTACCATTACACATATCCCAACGCCTCACCCCCCAAACACACCCGGTGTAAAGTCCACCACCCGCGCCTTCAAAATCACCTTTCCCACCTCCGCGATGAAAGCCTGGTGCGCCGGGTCCTTGTGGACGTAGTAGTCCCTGTCCTCCGCGCTCTCAAACTCCACCACGAACACGTGCGTGATGCCGTCCGACATGCCCTCGGGGCTATTGTCCACCCCGCCGACGGCCGACTTGATGTAAGGCTTGTTAGACGTAGGGTGGATACAGTTGTCCTTGAGCGCCAGCATCGAGTCGCATATCTGGCCCATGTCAATCGTCTTTCAAGGTAGGGTGGGGGTTGGAGAGTTTATGTACCGCCTTGACTTCCTCCTGCGGAACAAGTTCCTTGAATTGGAACTGTACAACGTGAATAATGGACATTTTGGTAATTGGTTTTATTCTGTTATGAGGTGGTCGAAGGTTCTTGTTTCCTCGTGAAATTGAGGTCTCTCATCAGAGGCGGAGTCGTCGACTTCAAAGCGGCCCATCCGTCGCCACTGTCATCTGCGCCGAGTGCGGGGTACAGCCAATTGCCGCCCGCATCTGCGACTCCGTCCAGAGTGGGAACCTTCGACCGGATTTCAGATGAACCGACCCATGGATTCAACCTCACCTCGTCCCTGATATCAACTTTAGCTTCATGTGCGGTAGCTTAACCATATCGACGGGAACACTCCGCAACTTAGGGTTTCATTCCCATAGAGTAGAAGCCACGAGTTACGAAACTGTTGTCTTAATATCCTTTAGCTCTGCCAAAAGACGAGGCTCATGTCGTTCCCTGTAGTATAAATTGGTGATGTTCATTGTACGCATCCTACTGTTGCCCTCTTACTAAGTCGGCTGTGAAACACCCCGGCCCTCGACGTGGTTTTTCTGTGCGTCTGTTGCCATGTAAGTAAGTGCCCCGAAGGGTTGGGGCGGTACGGTAGGTTGGGCAGAAATGATGCTCTCGCGCCTGCCCATCTACACAAATCCAGATCGGCCCAGGAAGGAAGCTGCCACCTTAGGTCGGGCAGTCACCCGTCAATTATGTATGGTCTTCTTGTTCACAACATAGATGGTAGCACGAGAACGAAAAGAAAACAAAAATAAAGAGATAGGAAAATAAAGGAAAGAAAAAGAAGAGAAAGAAAAGGCAAAAAAAGCTCGGGTTGCGTTGCGAACCTATATGATTCGAAACCAACCCTACGAAAATCCGACGGTTTTTCCATCAACGTCCAGTCTGGACCACCTGACCAATGTGAATCATTGCCAGTCTCTGTAGGGGGACGTCTCCCCCGACAATTCGACGCAGAACTCACCCCTATGTAGTACACTCGCACCTTCCGTTGACTTTCGGGTAGTGAAGTTCATATCACATAACCCGTCACTACATCCCAACGCATGCATAGACATTAGGTACAGTTCAACCTCGCATTTCATTAAACATCCTCTTTAGGGGTATCATCACAAAACCACAAACACGCTTCCTCTAACCGTCACCACACTCAGACTCACCCAAATATCCCAGCAACAACAGCCATAACCCCAACATACACCCCCGAAACAAGCGCCCCCTCCGCCGCCGCCTGCGCCCCTCCTCTCTCCTTGCCCGCCCCGAATATCCCCGCCTGCACGACCGCCAGCCCCACGCCGACAGCCACGATCGCCACCACGGCCATCCGCCCCGCGAACGCGGGTATCACCGCAAAAGTCAGTATCGGCAGGAGGAACGCCGCGGCAAACGACACCGCCACGGCGAGCGGGTAGCTGTTGCGCAGGAACACCTCGACCTGCCGCAGCTTCTCCGACTTTGCGCCTTGGAAGAAGAGGAAGCCGGCCGTCGCGGGGGCGGCGGTGCTGGGTTTGCGCGGCGGCATCGGGGTGCGCAGGTCGTCTGAGTATGACGAGGAGAATTCTGAGGTCGAGGGGGAGGGGCGCGCGAGGGAGACGAGGTCGTCGGCCGGGTCGAGGAAGCGCGTCTCGATCTCGACGATGGGATTGTGGTTGGCGAGGTAGGCGCGGTAGTACTCTATATCTCGCGGGTCTGGGCTGGGGAGGTTCTGGGTGTCTTTGAATGATGAGAGGACGTGGTCTGGCGGGTGTTAGTCTTGATAAACGCACAAGGGGGTGTGAGGAACGCACTGTACTGCCCGAGCTTGTACCCGATCTTGCCCAACACATCCGTCTTATGCCACTGCAGCTCGCCCGCAGTGAGGGCCTCCTGCCGGCGCGAGGCGGGGAGGATGCAGTTCTGCATGCGCCGCGTCTGTGTGTCCGCCGTATCCAGCCGGTGGAGCTGCTCCTCCAGCTCCGCGAGCTCATCCTGCAGATGCAGGAGCAACCTATGATTCAGAGCTTCGAAGCGGCGGTAGATGGGCTTGATGCTCGACCTGTCCGCATCGCCCGCGCATAGCTTCGAAGCGATCACCTCGTACCCCGACAGCGGGAGCTTCTCCGCCCGGGGGAGGTGCTTCGGGTGGCCCTGGTGCATCCCGGGCAGCCTCGGCTGCAGGGCGTTCGGCGGGAGATGCGGTAAGTTGGCATTCCCCCGCGGCATCTCCGGCGTGCCGTAGTTGCGGTACCCTCGCTGCCTCTGCTGCGCGGCCGCCGCGAGGTGCGCATCGAACTTGCCCGGCATGGCGCCCGGGGAGGCGGGGTCGCCGTAGGCACTGTGGTCCGGGGAGCTGCTGCGGTCGGTCTCATGGTCGAGCTCGGAGAAGACGTCGCTCTGGAAGCTGCTGGAGGCCGTGGAGGCCGTGCTCCGGGTGGAAGGGGACTGATAGCTCCCGTCCGGCGGCATCCTCCAGTACGACTGCTCGACGGAGCGCTGGATGGCCTCGGGGGTGACGTGCGGGGAGTCTGCGTCGAGGTAGCTGAGGGCGGCGTGCTGCTGCTGCTGCTGCTGCTGCTGGCGGGGTGAGCGGCTGCGGCGGCGTTTGAGCTGGAACCTGTCGTGCTGTCGCGACTTTTCGCTGCCTCTGCGCCGCGGCCAGGATGCTTGGGTTATCGTCGAGCCGGAGCCGCTGGAGTTGCTCGAGTGGTGTGTTCGTCCTGTGAGTGCTGTGAAGTTGGTCAGGGTTGGCGATGTTGGGTATTGAGGTGCGTTTGCGTCTTCATCGTCGTACGGTTCCTGGACGACAGTCTCATCGGACGAGGACTCTGGATCGGCGACGGGTTCGGGGTCGGGCTGCTGCTGAGGTTGGTCGTCATCTGGGCTCATTGCGACCTCGTCCGGTTTTGTTTGCGCTGGCGAGACGGGGAGGGAAGGAGTGCGCCGGACGGTTGCGCTGCGAGGGCGCGAGCGGGCGGGTGGTGAGTTGTCGTCGGCTAGTGGCATGTGATGTCTGTTATCTGTCGCGAAGACGGCCGAGGGAGACGGCGCATGGGCGGCGCTGGTGCTATGCGCGAGTACGTCGTTCGGGTCCGCGGCCAGCCACGCTTGAGCTGGCGCTGGGCTGCCGGGGAGGTCGTCGGAGACTGTGGGAGGGCGGTAGTCGGATGACATGGCGGTCGTGGATTTGGCGTGGGATTATTAGAGCGCGATTAGTTCTTCCTGCGGGAGACGGCTGGCTTGCGCTTGGGGGAGACGGATCGCCGTCTGAGGTCGGGTGAACCTCGTGTCCAAGGACGAGGGTGTGTACGACGATGTCTCGGATTAGCTGTAGGGCTTGCTACTGCGGGTGGTA